ACTAACACTAGACCTAGAAACATTCCGGTTTAGCCATACGTGTGTCAAAACGGCTAAACCTGAATGATTCTAGTTCTAGGTCTTGTATTAGTTCTGGTTTTACACTAGCACTATCATTACAACTAACACTAGACTTAGAACATTCAGGTTTAGCCGTCTTGAGAGACGTGCGGCTAAACCCGAATGATTCTAGTTCTAGGTTTAGTGTTAGTTCTACTTCTAGTTTAATAAAAACGGTATTAGATTTAATTTTACACTTGCACTGCCACTAGAACTAACACAATACCTAGAACTAGAATCATTCGGATGTAGCCGTCTTGAAATACGTACGGCTAAATCCGAATGTTTCTAGTTCTAGGTCTAGTATTAGTTCTAGTTTTACACTATAGTCTGTTTTTAAACTATACTCTGTTTTTAAACCAGGAGGAGTATTTCAAATTTGTCACCAGATTGACCTTGCACGTGATTGGTTGAATGCGAGGAAGGTTCACACACAGGCAATTTTGAATTTGAAGGTTAGGTAATTGATAATTCGACATTTTCGTGTCATTACTGTATATTTTGTGTTCTTAAACCCTTTTTATTATATTTTGAAATAAATACACTCATAACTTCAATGTTAATTTGTATGTATAGTGTTGACGATAACAAACGAAAATAAATACAATAATAAGTAAATAAATAAATAATAATAATTATTAATTTAAATTTACCGCCAAAATATCTAGAGATATTTTCTGGTGATTTTTCCTAGTGTAAATCTGACTTTCGCGTTTACTCCTCCTGGTTTAAAAACAGAGTATAGTAGCGCATGAATGTTTTACACTCGATGTTATTTTTGTCAAAATAAATAAATAAGTAGATGTTTATTACAAAATAAAGTTTAATTGTTTCTTTTGTGTCTAGCGCTACTTGATATTTGGACAAAAATAACATCGAGTGTANATTATCTAGGACCCTTATAAAATTTATGTTGTTTTCATGATTTTTAATAACATTGTCAGTAACTAATTAGTTGAGGTTAAAATACTAATAAATTTTTAGATAAATACGATTTTAACGAAGTACATATTTGTTGTAAAAACGTGCTACAAAGTAATTAATAGAATAAAATACCTTTTCTAGGTAAATAAATGGCAAATAAACACCCCACAACACTTTTACTGCACCTTTTCTTTTTGAATAACGAAAGCTCAAACGTCAATGTGACACATTTACTTCAAAACATGATAAAACAAAACTCCCTGTTAATTTTGCCAACTTTACAACAAATTGACAGGTATTATAGAAAAAAAAATGAACTATATAGCAGGAGTGAATCCGTAAGTCAGATTTATACTAGGAAATATCACCAGAAAATATCACTAGATATTTTAGCGGTAAATTTAAATTACTAATTTATTTACTTATTATTGTATTTATTTTCGTTTGTTATCGTCAATACTAAACATACAAATTAACATTGAAGTTATGAGTGTATTTATTTTAAAATATAATTTTACAAAAACTGAAAACTGAAACTGTCGAATGATCAATAACCTAACCGTCAAATTCAAAATTGCCTGTGTGTGAACCTTCCTCGCATTCAACCAATCAGGTGCAAGGTCAATCTGCTGAGAAATTTAAAATGCTCCTAGTTTAAAAACAGACTATAGCACTGTTACTATGTAGAATTAACACCATACCTAGAACTAGAATCAGTCGGGTTTAGCCGCACGTCTTTCAAGACGGCTAAATCCGAATGTTTCTAGTTCTCGGTTTAGTGTTAGCCATAGATTAGATATAATATATTTGTTATATAGATAGGCAACTATAAACGTTTGATTGAAATGTGCAATTAGTTTTGGATACTGTCACCTACAGCGCTGAAATTATAGGCAGGCGGGAAATATAAATTAAATTTGTTATTTGAAAGTTTTGTCGATGTTTTTTTTTACGAAAACATTGCTCGGCGACAAAACTTTACAAACTGTTCAAAATTTTAAACACATTTAAATTTTGTCGTTTACAATGTTTTCCAAAAAAGAAAACATCGAAAAAGCATGACTAGGTATTAAGTTATTATTTGGTACAGGGTGTATTAAAAAGTCTTTAAATGAATAACAAAGACTTTATTCTTTAATTTTTTTAATATTATTTATACCACATCGTTTCCTTATAACCCTTCGTCTGTAAACGGTTTTTTAGCACCTTCCGTCTGTAAAGATGGGTCTTTCGGGTTCGGCCGTTTTTTCATCCTGTTAATGCACTCAAAAATTTTTATAAACAATTCATGATAATGTTCGAAACCTTCAACTTGATAAATCAATCATAAAATTATCGAAAAATTAATTTTTGCATACATATTTTTTATATGAAATGAGGAAATTATTTGCCTAAACAGTTGTAGGTCGGACAGGAAATACCCAGGTTTACAGAGGAAGGGTTAATTTTATTGTATTTATCCAACGCTGCTTCCCCATGGCTGATTATAACATCAATCGAAGTACTTATTATAAAGCAACAATAACAAATCGCTCTTTCTTCAAATCGCTAGCAACTCTTCCTCTATACACAATACAAACATGCAATCAAAAATATTACTATGTCAAACCTGACCAAACCAGTCAAACTGACAACTCAGAAAATGGCCAAAATGGGTTCTGTAATCGAAAACAACGCTATAAGTGACAGTATCCAGAATTAAACGTATGTTCCCCACTTCATTAATACGAGTGACTGGTGCATGGTGTTAGCTCTAGTTTTACACTATCACTAGAACTAACACAAGACCTACAACTAGAATCATTCAGGTTTAGCCGTCTTGACAGACGTGCGGCTAAACCCGAATGTTTCTAGTTCTAGGTCTTGTGTTAGTTTTGGTTTTACACTAGCACTATCATTAGAACTAATACTAGACCTAGAATCATTCGGGTTTAGTCGTCTTGAGAGACGCACGGTTAAACCCAAATGTTTCTAGTTCTCAGTCTAGTGTTAATTCTAGTTTTACACTAGAACTAACTGGTTTTACACTAGAACTAACTAGTTTTATACTAGTACTATCATTAGAACTAACACTAGACCGAGAACTAGAAACATTCGGGTTTAGCCGCACGTCTTTCAAGACGGCTAAACCCGAATGATTCTAGTGCTAGGTCTTGTGTTAATTCTAGTTTTACACTAGAACTAATTAGTCTTACAGAAGTACTATCATTAGAACTAACACTAGAGCTAGAACTAGAAGCATTTGGGTATTCCAATACTTTCTAGTTCTAGGTCTAGTGTTAGTTCTAGTTTTAATTGTTGTTTAGCGATAGATTGTGGTATATTAAATTTATATTAAACGAAAAGTAGAACTAACATTTGACCTAAAACCAGAAACATTCGCGTTAGCCGTGCGTCTCTTAAGACGGCCGAAAACTCAGGGTTATCATAAGGACATCACTTTTTTCGAAGCGAAACTTATAATCTGTTTTTTATTTAAATCAATTGTCAAAGTGTCGTCAAGTTGGTATTGAAAGTAAAAGCGAATGCCGTGACTTTTACTTTAATTGTGTGCCACCACTGTCTATCAAATTTGTTAAGATTGATTAAAAAACAATTTTCATATAATTTTTTTGCTGCTAAATCTACCATAAAAATGTTAAGANTAAAATGCTCCTAGTTTAAAAACAGACTATAGCACTGTTACTATGTAGAATTAACACCATACCTAGAACTAGAATCAGTCGGGTTTAGCCGCACGTCTTTCAAGACGGCTAAATCCGAATGTTTCTAGTTCTCGGTTTAGTGTTAGTTCTAGTTTTACACTATCACTAGAAGTAATACAAGACCTACAACTAGAATCATTCAGGTTTAGCAGTCTTGAGAGACGCACGGCTAAACCCAAATGTTTCTAGTTCTCAGTTTAGTGTTAATTCTAGTTTTACACTAGAACTAACTGATTTTACACTAAAACTAACTAGTTTTACACTAGTACTATCATTAGAACTAACACTAGAACTAGAAACATTCGGGTTTAGCCGCACGTCTTTCAAGACGGCTAAACCCGAATGATTCTAGTGCTAGATCTTGTGTTAATTCTAGTTTTACACTAGAACTAACTAGTTTTATAGTAGTCCTATCATTAGAACTAACACTAAACCTAGAACTAGAAACATTCGGATTTAGCCGCACATCTTTCAAGACGGCTAAACCCGAATGATTCTAGTGCTAGGTCTTGTGTTAATTCTAGTTTTACACTAGAACTAACTAGTTTTACAGTAGCACTATCATTAGAACTAACACTAGACCTAGAACTAGAAACATTCGGGTTTAGCCGCACATCTTTCAAGACGGCTAAACCCGAATGATTCTAGTGCTAAGTTTTGTGTTAATTCTAGTTTTACACTAGAGCTAACTAGTTTTACAGCAGTACTATCATTAGAACTAACACTAGACCTAGAACTAGAAACATTCGGGTCTAGCCGCACGTCTCTCAAGACGGCTAAACCCGAATAATTCTAGATCTAGTGCTAGTTCCAGTTTTAATTGTTATTGAGCATTAGATTCTGGTATATTTTTATTTTCCCAACCCAACCCAACCTAACCCAATACTTTCTAGTTCTAGGGTTAGTTCTAGTTTTAATTGTTGTTTAGCGTTAGATTGTGGTATATTTATATTAAACGAAAAGTAGAACTAACATTTGACCTAAAACCAGAAACATTCGCGTTAGCCGTGCGTCTCTTTTTCGAAGCGAAACTTAGTAGTTTCGTCACTATGGTTACTGTATTCATATATTGCGAGTTATATGAAATTTCCGGTATAAAAATCGATTTAAAATTCAGTAAAAAAAATGTACTTTTAAAAGCTATTTAATATTTTTTTTGAAAATCCTAACCTGATGGAGCAAATTTAAAATTAATTTCAAAATTAGCATGAAAAACGACATAAATTAGACGTACTGGTGTATGAAAAAAAAATTGTGTTGCGCTGTGTAATAAATAAACGTCAATTTTACTTGATGTTCAATTTTAGGTTAATCTTATTTTATTCAATCATTTTTCATGTTAAATAAAAGTCAACAATTTCTCGATAAAATGCGTTTAACTCCCACCACGCTCGATCTAAATCCCTCCAAATCTCATTTCCGTATTTTCTTCCAACGAACGGTAAACAAATGCGTTTAGTACAAGTGGTACAAGTCGAGTTGTTTGTGGTGTGAAAACGCGAGCGATGCGGTTAACGATAATTATTACGATTCTTTTCATTGTTACTAAACAAATAATCGGAGTCGATGATGATGATGGCGAAAGGTCAAAGTTGGACATTGAAAATGCTAATGTTATGAATTGTAACGTGTCGGATGATTTAAAGAAAGAAATTCAATCGTATCGCGATATTACTAAAAAAATTATTTATGAATTAACCGATGGGAAATGGAAAGGATTTGTTTATAATGAGATTAGTAAATTTGTTGATCGGTTTGGCTTTCGTATGGCTGGGACGCAAAATTTAGAGAATTCCATTGATTATATGTTAGATAAGTTGGATAGGTTTGATTTGGATGGGGTTAAAGGGGAAAATGTGACAATTCCACATTGGGTTAGGTATTTTACTTTAATTAAACAAAAAGATTTTTTTAATATTAATTTTGTTTTAATTTCTAGAGGAAGTGAATCTGCGTTTTTAATCACACCACGTCGTCAAAAACTGGCTATTCTAGGACTGGGTTATTCAGTTGGAACTCCTCCTGGTGGGATTTTAGCCGAAGCAATCGTTGTGAATAGTTTTGAAGAATTAGATCAAATAGGACCAAAAGTAATTTTTTTAACTAACTCTACAACTCGATCTTTAATTTGTTTCCTTATAGGTTAGCGGAAAAATCGTCGTTTTCAACCAAACCTACTTATCCTACCCAAAAACTGTCAAATACCGCTCATTGGCCGCTTCAAAAGCCGTTAAATATGGCGCAGTTGCAACTTTAATTCGTTCGATAACGCCATATTCGTTGTACACCCCGCATACGGGGATGCAAGATTACCAACCGGGTGTTCCAAAGATTCCTGCAGCCGCTATAACCGTAGAAGATGCGCATATGTTAGCGCGGATGCAAGCAAGAGGAAGTAAACTAACGATTAAATTGGAAATGGGGGCGAAATTACTTCCTGACTCACAGTCGAGGAATGTTATTGCGGATATAACGGGGAACGCTTTTCCCGATAAATCAGTTGTTGTTTCAGGACATATCGATAGTTGGGATGTTGGACAAGGGGCGCTTGATGATGCTGGTGGTGCGTTTCTTTCATGGGGAGCATTGGCAGTTTTGAAAAAATTGAATTTGCGACCTAAAAGAACTTTAAGGTTATATTCTTTTTTATTTATAGAATACATTTTTGTTTTCTCGCAACTACTTGAAATTTAGGTTATGATATGAAAGTGTACAATAGGTGTTTGTATTAGAAATTAGATCTGTGTTTATAACTTCATTTTTTCTAAGCTCATTTTAGATTTTTATCAATTAATTTAACAATGAGTTACCTGATTAAATATGTTTAGTCCTCTTCTTGGGCAAATTCCTCTGTATAGTCATCCATTCAGTCTCTACCATCTATTTCTATAGATAAATTACTTGTTGTTGGAAAGTCTGTGTCCAAAAGATACTCTGTGGAAAATGGCAGAATAAATCATGAGTCATAAATATTAACAAAAGTGAAGAAACGTTGCTATTATGATTGATACTTTTGCTGTAAGACACCAATGAAGTAAAGAGTATGAAGTAAAAAAAGTGTTTAAGTGGAAGTAATAGTAACAAATATGCTCTTCACGTCATCGCCCTTCCATCTCAAGAGATGAGATGGACAAGATCTAAAAAAGCGAAATCTTACAATCTATTATAGCTGTAGCAGCCCATCTGCACACACTGAGCTTTCTTTAAAAAAAAGCCTCAAGGCATACAATCCTCGATTATGCACACCAAGGTTCAAAGGAAGATTCTTTAATTATAATCTCATATGCGCACATGCTCCCACAGAACTAATACCCTTAAACAATAAGAACAGTAACATTTCGAAAATACATTCCATTTATTTGGTTGGTTATTCTGAAAAATGCCTATCCACATAATCTGATACATACTTTCAAACGTGGTGGAAGTTTGGTGATGACATGGGGATGTTTTTTAGCGGCAGGAGTTCAAAATCTTCATTTTATAGATGGAACATTGACTACGAAACAGGTTTAAGCCTTGTGCTAATAGTAGTCTTTTAGAAACAGTGTCTACTCTTCTACAACCAATATTGCCTTATGCAAACTGTAAGTTGTCTTCTGCAACCGCTATTGAGTCTTTCATTAGCAGTATCTAGTTCGCTGCTAGTAGAATTTTGCTTTTGTCAGCGATATTCAGATTCTGCAATTAATATTTAAGTCTTCTATTAACAGTTCCTAACCTTCTGAGAGCAAAATGTAATTATCTGCAAACAGGTTTAAGCCTTCTGTTAACAGTAGTCTTCTAGAAACGGTATAGTAGGTATAGCTGGTAGAAGACTAGCTACCAGCAATATTTTGTCTTGTACAAACAACAAGTAGTCTTCTGCAAACGCTATCCATACTTCCATTAGTACTATCTAGTCATCTTCTAGCAGTATTAAGTGTTCTGAAAGCAGAATCTAATTTTCTGCCAGTAGATATTATTCATTCTTTTCTTACTTGAGCCATTTCATTATACAGGGTGAGTCAGAAAGAATGGGAAATCCGAATACCTAACATCTCTTATGCAAATGTCGGTGGTTTTCAAGGTACAGGGTGTTGAAAGTTAAATTCTTATTTTGAAATTTCTTGATAAAATTGAAGCGATTTCAATTCGGATAGTGTTAATCCAGCATGTTTGATGCAGCCATTTATAGAAAATTTCTTCTATGCATCTATAACTGCTCAATTTTTATCATTAATTAAATTATCATTTACATAATAGGTCTTAAAGGTTGCAATAATTCCTTGATCCAGATGTTGCCTCAAGGAATCCTTAAATTTAAGGCCGTTATCATTCATATAGTGCCGAACTTCTGGAACAAAATATTTGAGAAAGCATTCATTAAAAGATTGAAGTAGTCACTCAAACTTTTTTATTAGCTGTTCAGAAAACTGGTAAGGTGTCTAAATTTACACCTTTCATAGACACTGGTTTTAGAGCTCGATTTATAAGTAAAGGTCTTAATCTCCTGACGCATTAGAGCAAAATAAAAAAGTTACGCGGTCTTTGGTTGCTTTAAACAAACTAGCCGTTTTATAGGATTTAGGTACGTATGTTCTATTTGGCATACGTTTTTAGAAAAGTCCTATTTCCTCCGCATTTCATACCTGATTTTCCATTTTCAATTATTTAAGCTATTTTTGCAGGAAATTCTTTAGCTATCAGATCCAATTTCATCCTAAATCTTTATACAATACAGCGCGTGTCTTTGTAAAAATCCATTCAACCATCCCGTACTTGCGGAAAATTCAAATTTGGTTCTTTTCTGGGCCGACATTTGTGGTACAATTTCTTTAATCTGCTTGATACTATTTCCGTCAACTGGTATTCGTTTTTGAGACATATCCTGTATCTATACTACCACAGCCTTTTCCATTTTCAGCTTTAAAATATGTCTTGTGTGTATGAAGCACTTAATTTTGTCCCAGCAAAAACAGATTTTCTGACCGCGTCCTCATTTTTGCTTCAATATGAATATTTTGAATAAAAGCTCGTTCTTTATCCTTTAATTTATCCCCATGTTGAATATTAATTGGGCAATCCTTTATCGATATATAATTTAACAATTTCGACCAACTAAAAAATATGCAGGATAAAATAATAAATTAAAAAAGAATTTTTTGTGGACCTTTGAGTTGAATATTGATTTTTTTGATCTTGAATAGTTTTGTAATAAAAATCTTCGCATCCCAGCTCAGCAATTAAATACAATTTTAATAAATTACTTCTTTGTAACGATTTTAATACATAATTATTACTATTTAAGCGAAAAATTGCTTTTAAAGCTGGATCGCTGTATTGCTCACTCTTACTGCATAAAGTATGACTTAATTGAACCAAAACTTTCTCTAAATCAATAAATTAAGTTATTAATATAATTAAGATATTTTTATATTAAAAAATACTTATATAAAATCCTAAAAGAACTTTATTTTTGTTACTGGTTTTTGCTTTATCGTATTGGAGATCGTAACTTGGATCTTGAGATAAAACTCTTCCAATCGTTTCGGTGTATTCTAATATGTAATTGCTCGAGAAACATTAATACGTTACTGGTTAATTCATGTACGGTTCCATGTGGTGGTAATTGAGTCACTCGATGAAATCTTCTAAAGCTTTTACTCCCTAAACAAAATTTGTATAACAATTAATTCCTTTTAATTTTATTTTATTACAGTTGAATGAAGAGTATGAAGGATAGAATCGAATTTCGCTTTAATTCTTGCATCGCATTCCTCAACAGTTCGCTCAAATTTCGGTTTTAACGCAATTAATTGCTTCAAAATACAGGGTGATTCAAAAAACTGCTGACAGACTTCTAGGGCAGGTAATACATCAAAAATTAAGATGAAAAGTCTTAATATACATGGGGTCGCAAATGCCTCCTGAACGAGATATAGCGGGTCAAAGTTTCTTTAAAATTAAACATTAATTTTTCAACTCCACTGCTAATTTTGCCAAACGTGCAGTATTTTCGTGTAAAGTGACCAATTATCTATCAATTGGTCTCTTACAAACCTTTGATTAAAGGAACAGTTTTTGATTGAATTAACAAATTTTCTACAAACGTGTTTTTCTTAAAAACTATTGCTTTGATAAAAGTTTTGTAAGAGACCAATTGATAGATAATTGATCACTTTACACGCGTAGAGAGCAATGGCGTAGACAATATACTTTTTATTGCAGATAATGTTTAATTTTAAAGAAACTTTGATCCGCTATATCTCGCCAACGAGGCATTTGCGACCCCATGTATATTAAGACTATTCATCTTAATTTTTCATGTATTATCTACTCTAGAAGTCTGTCAGCGGTTTTTTGAATCACCCAACACATTGCTATCTCGCTTGAAAATTATTCCAAGTTAAAATTTCTTGAATTGCGTTAAATCAAATTCACGTTGAAACAATATAAGGTGTACCTGGCGGTCATAGTAAGCCCATGGTTTGAGCGCAAAGACATTCAGGGGTTGTGGGGGGTAGAAATGGGGTTTTAGAAATCATTAATTAGATTAATATTGAATTAGGTATAAACTTTGAAAGATAGTTATAAGTAATTTCCTTCCTGTCCGTAAAGTAACGGATATAGGCGATAAAATCATTATAAACGGTTTATGGAAAAATCCCTGAAACGGGTCTAAAGATTTAAATTTTTCCGCCATTTTTAAACGAGTTATGACGTCATCGATATTTTTTTTAAATGGCAATACCCCATTTTTATAATGGAATATGAAAGAGAATGTTTTTCTGAATCTAGTACAGTCACTATTAATATTGCTTACATAAGAAAATTTTCGAAAAAAATGTGTAACTACTTCAAGTTTATTGAAATGATAAAAATAGCATTAGCCATGAGTAACTATGGTAACCAATTATTTTAAATAATTTTCTAAGTGTCAAAAAATGATTTAGTAAGTAGTTGACCTCCTTAATGCAACATTTCTTGATCGAAAACTGCTTAACACATTAGTATGGTAAACCTAGCTGTAACTAAATTTAAAAAGCATGGACATCTTCGAGATTTCTCGAAGTCTGCCCGACCAAATGTTTCAGGGGAGGTCTTCGTCATCAGCTCGAGCAATGATGCTCGAGCTGATGACGAAGACTGTGTCAAAAACATATTTTTTCCGACGAGGGAACATTCACATTGAGTGGACAAGTAAATAGACCAAATTATCGGTATTGGGCTACCCAAAATCCGCATTGGGCAAAAAAGTCGCATAAGATCAATGTGTTTAGCAAAATCGTACGGGATACTATCCTGAGTTCTTACTTTTTGAGGAAACCTTAACTGGAGAGAGATGTTTAGATTTTTTCAAAACGATATCATAATATTGTCCCACCTGAATTCCAATAGCGCGTTTTACACCAAGAGTTTTTTCGACAGTTCTGGAGCGCACACAAGCGTGCATGTTGTGAACAAAAGTACGACGTGCCAAACCTGCATTCCGAACATCCGGTTTTGACGCGTACAACTCATAAGTGAGCATATAAATGCAAAAATATGACATTTTATTGACTTTTGGAGTGGAGCGTAGAATTTCTGCCAAGTTGAAATTTTTGAAGACACTCCTATACTTTTTTAATCACGTTTGCGAAAACATTTCAGTTACAATTATTGTTTTTAAAAATTATTCCAAACTTTATCATGTTCTCAAGAAGAAAAAAGTGGTATAATCGTTCAGTTAGTATTATTGCACTTTATGTATTTGTGACTTCGCAAAAGAAACCTAGAAGAATATGGGTGAAAAAATGGCGTCAGCATAAAGAGAAATATGGACATTTGTCTCTTTTGAGTGAACTTAAAGAAAATAACCCAGATGATTAAAATTAATGACATTTAAATCACGTATTCTCTGTAGGGTTAAGTTTTGTGTTCCTCCAAAATGTAAATCTTGGCGCGTTCGAAACTAAACTCTCTCTAAACAAGTATAAACGCTGTGCAAGTATAAACCACGTGAGCCGCGAACGCGCGCTGGGCACGTCTAAAGCGGTCCATACACGATGATTTTAACGGCCTATACACGTAGACTCTTGTGGCGTCGTGCTGCACTTCTTTAACCGCTATCGACGAACCTATACCAATGCATATCTGGTCAGACAATAGCCAAGAAATTGGCTGCAGAATACCAATACTACTTGCAGAAGGCTAAATACATCCTATAGAGGACAAATACTACCTATACAATACTAGAAACTGCTTAAAAAGATAGATATCGTCTATAGAAACCTAAGTACTGGTACCAATAGACTACAAATTGGTTGCAGAATACCAATACTACTTGTAGAAGACTAAATACTGCCAGCAAAAGGCTAAAAACTCCTTGCGGAAGACAAATACTACCTATACAATACTAGAAACTGTTTGCAGAAGATAGACATTGTTTATGGAAGGCTAGGTACTGCTACCAATAGCAAAGGAATTGGTTCCAGAATACTAATACTGCTTGCAGAAGACTAAATACTTCCTATAGACGATCAAAAATTCCTTGCGGAAGACAAATACTACCTATGCAATACTAGAAACTGCTTAAAAAGATAGATATTGTTTATACAAGGCTAGGTACTGCTATCAATAGACTATAAATTGGTTCCAGAATACTAATACTGCTTGTAGAAAATTAAATATTGCTGGCAGAAAGCTAAATACTACCAGACAGTTTTACAAGCTCATTTATGGCGGTAGTTTTTCAATTTCTGTTGATGTAATTTTTTGATTTTGAGTCCCATAAACATGGGTACATTCTATATAGGTTTATAAATTTTTTCCAAAAATCTTTTTCGGCGAACGATGCCATTTCGATGGACGTTGGAAATAAACTAAAGCGATACTTTTGGTGTCGTATGCACGTCGCAATCCCATACACGTTGACTCTTGCAAGGCGACGCAGCCTGCCACAGTCTTGAATTCGTCGCAGTCGCATGAGTCCTGGCGCGTCCCTACACACGATGCTTCATGCGGCTCGACTCTTGGCGTCGTTGCAAGAGTCGTCGTGTATGGGCCGCTTAAGATCGGCATGTTTACAAGGGTAGTTTTGGTACGCGCGCTATGGATTGTACGCTCCAAAACTGTCGAAAAAACTCTTGGTGTAAAAGACGCTAATAGTAGTTATTCCAACAAGATGGCGCGCCACCACACTTCAACAAGCTTTACTAAATCAGTTTTTGACACTTACTACATTGTTTAACCTTCGAGCGGGCGCGCTGTTATAAAATTTATCACAATCTTCGTTTTTTTAATATATTTCCTTATATAATGCATTTGAAACGATTTAACGCTAATGTATTCGTGTAACCATGTATTTTGAACATTACGATGAGAAAATTAAAAAAAAAACTATTGGCGTCGTTTTTATGGCATAAAAAGGTGTAAAAGATAAAAAATTTTCACATTAATTGCTGATTGATAAGGTCTTATTGATATTATGGGATGAATTTATGGTGTAAATGTATTATAAACACGTTTCGAGTCATATGTGAAGGTTTTCGGGTTGTTTGCTGAAAAATCGGAAACTAAATTTTAAAACGCCATGAGGGTTTGTTTGCACAGGCCGTATTTATTTTTTAGGAGTTATTTACGATTAGTTTTTATGAGTAGGTAATCCTCGGAAGATTTCGGGGTATATTTAGAATACGGTTGTCAATATATAAGTTTAGAGATCCACGTTATAGTTATTGTGTAAAGTGTCGTTGGAGCGAAAANTTACAAGCTCATTTATGGCGGTAGTTTTTCAGTTTCTGTTGATGTAATTTTTTGATTTTGAGTCCCATAAACATGGGTACATTCTATATAGGTTTATAAATTTTTTCCAAAAATCTTTTTCGGCGAACGATGCCATTTCGATGGACGTGGATTGTTTAAAATAATTGGTTACCATAGTTACTCATGGCTACTGCTATTTTTATAATGTCAAGCAAATTTGAAAAAGTTAACTTTTAAAGTAAATTTTTCTCGAAAATTTTCTTATGTAACCAATATCAATATTTACTGTACTAGATTCAGAAAAACATTCTCTTTAATATTCCGTAATAAAAATGGAGGATTGCCATTTGAAAAAAATATCGATGACGTCATAACTCGTTTAAAAATGGCTGAAAAAACTACACTAAAAAATTGAAAAAAATTTAAATCTTTAGACCCGTTTCAGGGATTTTTCTATAAATCCTTTATAATGATTTTATCGCCTATATCCGTTACTTTACGGACACACTGCATAAAAAAAATTGTTTTATCTGAACCATTCTGAAATCCTAAAAATTATAAAATGTTTTCTTATTTCAATCCTAATTATTTAATTTTTGTTTTAGATCTATTTTATGGACAGCTGAAGAAGAGGGTTTAATCGGCGCCGAAGCGTACTTTAAACGCCATCAATCAGAAAATGATAAATTAACCTTGTTAATGGAATCGGATGAGGGTACTTTCACCCCGCTCGGTCTTGAATTTCGCGGCTCCAACGACGCTGCTTGCATTCTCCAGGAAATTTTAAAGCTTCTTAAACCGATCAATGCGACTCAATTAAAACGCGGAGATAGCGTCGGTTCCGATATTTCTATCTGGGATAAAACCGACGTCCCAACGGCTGCTTTACTGAATAAGAATGAGAAATACTTTTGGTATCATCACACAGATGCTGATACAATGGATGCTTTAAATTCGGATGATTTGGATAAATGTACGGCGGTTTGGGCTACTGTTTCTTATATAGTTGCTGATTTAAGTATTGATTTACCTAGAAAATAAAAGAAATTATGATTATTAATAAAATCGATTAAATGGAATGTTTTAATTTAATTAGGAGAAGTAGAAAATTAAGGGTTAAAAAAGTTTGATTTCAAATAATAAACAGTTTCTTTTTATTATATGATACAAATTATAAACAAATACTTCGTTAAGCGTGTATTTTAGTTCAAATTCATTTTTTTTTTAAATAATTTTAAAATGTTAATTTTTATTCGGTTTTAGTTTAAAATAGAAATTCCTTTTCATGCGGTGAGCTTTTCCCGTCTTCTTTGAATCTTTCTCGTTACATACATCCCATTAATTTATTAATTATTTATTACCAAATAATTACTTTATTTCCGTTTAATTAACTTTTAAGATTTCATTTAGTTTTATATAGAAATTGACACTACACACTTTTTCCGATCCATTTCTTTTACAATTCTCGTAATTTTTTCCTTGAAATGACGATAGACAAAAACATATCTACAAACTAAATTCTTCTCAATGTACAATTGAATATACATACTCCTATAACATAATTTTTTTCACAATAAAACACGGATCAATTTTTTTTTTAATTAAATTGTCCACAAGTAGTAGGTAAAGAAAAAAAAACAAACAATAAATTAATAATAACGTTAAAAAGACCGAAATTGAAATAAATTTTGTTTCTGTGCGGTTAGAAATTTAATTTAAATCTTTTAATATTATTTTTTATTAATATGTTTTAAGGGAGGAAATTTAGGGGACTTTATCGTGATAATTCTTTTTTGTTTGTTTTTCTTGTCATAAATTCAAATAACTTATACGAACGCTTCCTTTTTAATAATTCCTTTTTCTTCTTTTTTTTGTTTGTTTAAAATTGAAATCCTCCCATCGGAACCGACTGATCCGAACTAAAATTGTATTGTTGTTGTTCCACGTCCACCGAAGGGGCCACTCTAGCGTCTTCTTCTTCTGTACCAAAGTAATGTTCGATAATATCAAACGCTTTTTGGTAAATTTCAATGTTTTCGTGCGACTGAAGGAACTCTATTTTATCTAGGCCTTAAAAAGTTCCAAATTAATCATAAACTTAATTAAAATGAATTAAATTTATTTACCATAACACTCCTCAACCAAAACCGCGTATCTATTCGTTCCCGAATGAATTTTAGCATCCTGATCTCCTAACCTTAAAATATTCTCTAATCCGTTCAGAGCGACCTGAACAATCTTGATATCCATAACCGTTAATAAATCGCAAAGAGGTCGTATACACCCTTGATCGACTAAATATCGTATTTGATCCGGGGTTCCACCACTCGTTGCGTTCGTAATCGCCCAAGCGGCCTCTTTACGCGTCTTAAACTCGGCTTTACTCATCAAATCAATCAACAACGGGAAAATATTCGCATCAAGAACCGCTTGGATTTGCTGCCGATTTCCCGCTGTGATATTACTCAACGTCCAACATGCCTCTTTCCGTACCGTTTCTTTAAACGAATTGAGTAGGCTTTGTAAACATGGTAATGCCCCACAATTTAGAATAACCTGCGTTTGTAAATCATCCCCGGTAACAATGTTTCCTACGGCTCTCAAAGCAGCGGAGACTACGTTGGGTTGTTGGTGCATTAAAAGTTCTACAAGACGTCTACAAACTCCCGCGTCGATTACAGTTTGGATTTTATCGTTCGGTCCATCCGATAAGTAACTTAAGGCCCAGCACGTATCCGATAAAACGTCGGCGTCCGAGTGAAATAGCAACCTGGCTAGCACCGGAAGTGTTGGGGATACTTTTACGAATTCTGGGGGTGGATTTTTACCACGACATAAATTCGATAAAGCCCAAACAGCGTTTCGTGTCATTGTTAATCGATTTGATTTATCCAATAATCTAGATTTGAAAAAAAAATTTAATTTATTTTTTTTTATTAATACAAAGAATTTACCGTCAATTATGGGAATCACATGTTTCTTAAAATTATAAAAACTCGGAGATATCCGACGTAATTAACATAATGAGATGTACAATGATCAAGAGAAAAAACAAGAGATAGCATCCACTTTTTAAAAAGAAGCTATTAAGTCTGAAGTAACACCAGTATCTTTCAAAGTCAAACTTCCTAAGAATCTAAAACACCTTCAATTTGAAATGGAAAAAAGATTGATGAAGAAATATATCATAAAACTTTATGGCAGCTTAATCGAACACGATACCTTACTTAAACTAATTCTTAAGAAACTCGCCACACCCTGGGGTTCCGTGAATCGTTTTAAAAATCATATTGATGAAAACAATGACACCGATACAAATCAAATCGCCCCAAAAGAAAATAAGCACTAAGTGTACATACAGGGTGGTTCAAATTCGATGTCCGAATATGCTAACTCGAAAACTATAAGAGTTAGAAGAAAAGTAGCTGACATGTCATGATCTCGTTTTTTAAGAAACTACTAATGCCGAAAACCTCATAGCGCTATCGTCTTTTGTTTTTCCGCTAGAGGCCAAAATTGAAAATATCGTAAAACCCGCAAATGTAATTATCTTGGTTATTATTATAGGTGGAGTATTATAACTAAGACATTATATGGACACTTTTTTACAGAGAATTTGATGACGTAGTCAAAAAAAATTTGTCGGTTTTAGATTTTGAGATATTATCACAATTTTCGTTTTTTTAAATGGAAACAACCACTGATTATTCGCTTAATAAATTCGTTATTTTTTTCTGATTACAAAAATATAGGGTTTGACAGGTCTATTTCTTATTGTTTTAGAATAAAACTAAAAATAA